TTTTTATTCATTATAATATTTAATAAAATACGTATTTTATAAAAAAAAGGAAATATTTATGTAAAATGAAAATTTGTTTTTCTACCTAATTGATTTTTGTTAAGTAAGTATTGTTGTTAAGTAATTACCAAGACTATCAAACATTGGTCTGAGGGGCTCAGAATTAAATGCCCAGCTTATATATGAATATATTTCCATCTTAATATGGATTCAGTTCAAAAGAGGTTTCTAATTTTCAACTTTCTCAGAAAAGTTGACTCATTGAAAAACTTAAAAAAATAAAAAGTTTACCCAAAAAAATTCTATTAAAGTCTATCAATCTATTAGATTCTATTAAATTTAATAAACAGGTCCCAAATGAATCCTTATTGAACGATTCAATTCCCTTTGATTTTTTGGCCTTATTGAACGATTCAAATCTTTGACGTGACGCATATGTAATCAGAGCTCTTATGGATGGTCAAATAAATCATTTAAAGGAAAATTTAAATTTAAAGTCTCTAGTATCGACGCAGTACGTGTTTCGACCTACCAAAATGTTTCCCAATAGATAAGTTAATCGAGAGATTGATAAGAGAAATGAACCTAAAATTAATGCTAAACAAAAAAGACAACAACAACAGCCACAAATGTAATGAGTGAACCGTTCCAGACTCATCGCCAGACTCTGAGCCAGACAGACAGAGCAGACAGAATTTATAAATCCATCGAGCAGTCGCCGCTGAAACTTCAGACACAAAAAAATGGTCAATGCGTGCAGAGCTAGAAATGAAAATGTGAAATGAAAATTGAACTAGAGCCGGAACTGGAACATTAGTCGGAACCAGCTGAGTGGCTCTGACTCTGAGCTGTGGCTCTGGCTCTAGCTCTGACTCTAGCTCTAGCTCTAGCTCTAGCTCTGACTGCGGCTATCAGCGAGTGCTCTGCGAAATGCATGAAATTCTTTTACGGAAGCGCTTCAGATTGCGATTGTGTTTGTGATTCTTCGGCATAGCCAATACACAATTGTGACTCTTCTCGACTATCAAGCGTTGGCGTCGGCGTCGGCGTTGGCGTCAGCGCCAGCGTCGGCGTCGTCATCCCCGTGCCGCGCCCTGGCGTGTGTTGAGCGCTGCATTTGGAACGTGCTGGGGGCAACGCTTCCGCGACCCATTTGCATAGCGCTGTAATATTTGCAAATAGCTCGCAGCCAGCGAAAATCGTATTTAAGAGCTATTCAGCAAATTGCATTAAAGAAGTTGCACGCGACCAAGCAGAGACCGACCAAGCGCTATCCGAGCCGCCGACTGAATCCAAATACTGCTGAAAGGTAAAAAACATCATCATCAACCGCGAATCAATTGCCGATTGCCAATTGCAAATCGCAAAACGCGAATTGTGAATTGTGAATCGAGAATTGTGTCGTTGACCCTTGAGGGGAAACCACTAAATTGACCCATTTTCGTATTGCTTCTAGATGATCGTGCGACACAATTCGATGTTTGCGCTGCTGGCGCTCAGCGCTCTGGCCCTCAGCCATGCCCACTTTCCGCAGTACTGCGCCGAGTGCGAGCAGGAGATTTGGGAGCAGGTGCCGTGCAGTGAGATCAGCTCTACCACGCTCCAGCCGCCCATCACAACGACGGTCTCGACGCCTGCGATCAGCACCACAACGCAAACGCCGCCGACTGTGACCACGCCCCCAACCACATTGACGCCTACACTGCCGCCCATCAGCTCCACCCTGCCGTACGTCTATACGACGCCGTCGACGCCCTACACGACCTCGTCGACGTACAAGAAGTGCTACTGCGAGTGCAAGCTGGGCTGCAAGGAGTTCTGCCGCAAGGTGTCCGTGGCCAGTCCCAAGCAGCAGATCACGCAGATCTCCTCCACGGGCGACTATGCGCCAGGGGGTCAGGTCGAGTACACGCAGTCGCTGCAGCGCAAATACTACCCCAAGTACGCCGCCAAGAGCTACAAGCCCTATCCCGTGGTCTACAATGAGGCGGCGGGGTCCGCATCCGCGCCAGCTGCGAACAACATAAATGCGCCCAACTACACGCTCGAGGAGCTGGCGCATCTGCTGAGCTCCTCCTACGGCGCTCGCAAGGGCTATCCGGCCAGTCCGCTACCGCAGCCGCAGCAACAGCAATCGGTTTACTACGCACCACAGCCGCTGATCTCTCGACTCCAGCCGCAGTACAGGCAGCTGATTAGCAAGGTTTCGCCGCCCAAGGAGCACGTGATAATCAAGACAGCATCAGCGGCGGTTTCAGCCTCTGGCCGTGCAGTGGCCAAGGCCAAGACGCCCTACAACGAGGTGGTGGCCACATCGGCGCCCGTGTATGAGAGCACCACATCGTATCCGGTTCCACCACCAGAGCCGCCCAAATCGTATCCTGAGCCCGAGCCAGAGCCTGTGCCCGTGCCCGTGCCCGAACCGGTGCCCGTGCCTCTGCCCATGCCCCAGACCGAGGCATATCCCTCCCAGACAGAGGCCTATCCGGACAAGTCCTATGAGGCACCCGAGTCGAAGGGCAAGTCAGAGTCCTCCTCCTTCGACCTGGCCATCGACAACTACCTGAAGGACTTTGGCTACGGCAACCAGGTGCGAGACTTGGACTACTAACGCCTTGCTTCCTCCGATTGTTATTAGTTGTTGCTAGTTATAGGTCTATGCCTAAGTATAACCTATGCATGTGTGTGTATATGTGCGCGTGCATAGCTATGTATTGGGTACGACAGCGCACTCTTCATGTATTTATTTATTTCCCCCTCTCCATGCGCTGACTTGTTGAACATAATACAATATACAATATATACAAACAATGGTTACGAAAATTTCTGTATTTTATTTTAAGGAGTGGGAGATGAAATTTGATGTGGTTATAAAGGGAGGCAAAGGTATATATATATAATTTATAAAGTCTTTTTCAGCTCTTATCCTAAGTGAAGGAACTTGATTGCCTTTAAGGCTGCAATGACTGCAATGAGCAACATTTGCTTACATTTGCTGTTGGCCAACAGAGCACACCTCTGCACACCTCCGTCACCTTCAGTGACCTTCACACACTCAGCTGGCATCAAAGAGCTTGGGGCAGTTGTACTTAGCAACAAAGTGGGCAGAAGGCGATTTATTTGGCATATGCCAAAACAGTCACTTGTGTGTGTGTGTGTGTGTCACCTCAATCTCCCAGTGTATGTGTGTGTGTGTGTGTGTGTGTGTGTGTGTGTTTGTGTGTGCTGGTATCGGACAATCTACAAAGTGTGTACATGTCGCTAAGTAGACACAACTTATTATTTATGGAGTCTACTTAAATGTGAGCTCGTGGAGCTGATGGAGTTGATTGGGTTGGGCGACAACGACAGGCAACGACAGCGGGCGTGCCGCAACGACTGCAACTGGACCTGTGCGTGAGCCGTGTTGGAGTGGTGCAGTGGTTGCTGTGGTGCAGCTCTTGAAAACCACTCGCTACGTAATCTTGTTCTAAATGAATGTGGCGCAAGATACGCGCCGGAGCCGCTTATTACTTCATATCGAATTTACCTACGTGTCTCGATTGGTTATTTGCTTTGGCTTTTCACTCTCCGCGAGCAGCGATCGGCGGTGTCGCATTGATTTGTGTGCGTCGAGCGAACCAAGTGCGTGAAAGGCCTCTGGCATGTGGGCACAGCACGGGCGAGACAACGCCCCTCCTCCCTCCTTCCTCCTCCCTCCACCCTCCGCCATCACCTGGCCAAAGGTGGCTATGGCTCGGACTGCGACTGCGGTATCTTGTGTGGCATACGGACGGATGTTGCAATTCGATTAATTAATTAAGTGGAAAAACTGCAAGCGCGCCGAAGGCTGTCTGAATGTCAATGTGCAATTTGTAGTCCATTTGATGGAGCTATCGACGGCATAATTAATCCCCGCTCATTTTGTACTTCACTTAGAGCTGCTTGATTGATTGAGATATGTTTGATCACTAAACTTAAGGAATTTATTGCAGATCTGATTAACTACAACTCAATTGTGTTTATTTAATAATAATTAAATACAAGAAAAATCTGATTTGTTTAATTGTGTCACAAATTTTATATTATTATTTATTTGATGATGATGATT